TCCCTAAGATCAAAAAGGCTGTTGGATCGCCAAGGCGTGTCTTTCCCTTAGATCGAAAAGGCTGTTTGATCGCCAAGGCATGTCTTTCCCTAAGATCGAAAAGGCTGTTGGATCGCCAAGGCGTGTCTTTCCCTAAGATCGAAAAGGCTGTTGGATCGCCAAGGCGTGTCTTTCCCTAAGATCGAAAAGGCTGTTGGATCGCCAAGGCATGTCTTTCCCTAAGATCGAAAAGGGTGTTGGATCGCCAAGGCGTGTCTTTCCCTAAGATCGAAAAGGGTGTTGGATCGCCAAGGCATGTCTGCTCTCTGAGACGAGAGCGTGTGCATTCTGGCGTGATCTAGATCTAATGGTGAAGCGAAACCGCGGTAGCGCGGTCATGAGCTGTTGGAAGCGGGCGTAAAGTTATCGTCTGCCATAACTGATACGTAAGTCCCCAAGATGTCACGAAAGTTCGTCAGTGGCGGAATAGTGGGGTAACTTTTGACCAGCAAAATAGGCTATATGAAAAGCATTTGATGGAAACTTTCTGTATTTGGTGAAATGTCCTCGTACTCGCAACATATCACAATATTTTTCGGATAACTCTGAAGAAGCTCTGTTCCTATGGGCAGAAACCATATACCGATATATATATATGGTCTCGGATATGGGTTGCTATCTGGGCCCACTCATCACAAACTGTCTGCAGCAGATCATCTTTGTTTTTGATCTCCACAAATGTCTTCCCACTTCATATTTCAGTGCTCACTAAACATTTTCTATAATATCAGTGTCTGGTCTCTGTGGTGCATGGCCACTTTAGAGTGTGTATCCCATGTAAGATTTCCACAGGTTAGCCCCCGTTAAAACATGGTAAGGGGCGTCATCTTCTTGGAAGTCTTGGAAGATCCAGTCATCATCATGAAAATGTCTGGCAATAACCAGCCATAGACAAATTTCTAGGATTGAAATATACTTGCCAGTGTTTAAATTGCCATCAACAGGAATAAGTGTACCCACGCCATGATAGGTTTGGTTTAGTTTGTTGTTTAACGCCGCACTCAGCAATATTCAAACTTGTGACGGCGGTCTGTGAATAATCGAGTCGGGACCAGACAATCCAGTGATTGACATCATGAGCATCAATTGGGGATACTATGACATGCATCAACCAAGTCATCGAGCCTGATCATCCGATCCCGTAAGTTGCCTCTTACGACAAGCATAGTCGCCTTTTACGACAAGCATGGGTTGCTGAAGACCTATCCTCACCTGGATCTTCACGGGTCGTGCCATAATAGGTTACACGGCCCAAAATCATGACCAAGGCATATTTTGACCTGGTCAGACCACCCTCACCCCTACCATGCATTCGGGCCTCAAACACCCATTCACTTTTGGGTCTTTACCATTGAGTCTCATGACTAAATATAATGTTTGACCAATTTTTGTCAACTGTCCAGTGAAGTTTTGTTCAACTAAACTTAATCCTCTTGACACGGTTCAACGGTGATATGGTTAATTTCTTGGACACAACACAGCACTGGAACCCCTGGAACACTAGGGTGAGTGAGTGAGTTGTGTTTAACGCCGCTTTTAACAGTATTCCAGTTATCGCGGCGTGTCAGCTTAATGTGGGAGGAAAGCCCGAAGTGATAAACGTCGGAGACCTGCATCACTTCGGGCTTTCCTCCCACGAGCACGGGTATGGTGCTGACAAAGCTAGAAACATAATCGGGATTCGAACCCACAATCATATAGGTTTCTGGAGTGTCCACGGGACGCAACTCTGCACAGCGAATCGCGGCGCCTTAGACGACTGGGCCACTCGTGTCCCCCTGGAACGTCAGCAGCTAACGTTGTAATCTCAACGTGGTTCTTGTAAATTTGGAACTAACAAAATTTGAATTAGTCAAAATGCCATGAGATGCAGAAAGTGAATCTCGCTATTCACTGCATTATTTAGCCTACTGTGTGTTTAGAAATCCAAATATCGGATATTTCCTCGAAAACACTGAATTCCAAAAATAGCATATCAGTGATCACGGGTATCTGTTTTTCATCAAATCGCTTATAAATGATAATTCTGAAATGTCCCTGATAAGCCTAGAATTGTTTAGAATGTTTTGGAAAACACGCAAACACAAACGCTGAAGTGTATGTTCCGCCATCTTTGATAGTGTTTACAAAATCATGTTTCACGAACGCCGGTTATGAGTCACCTATTACATCACGTATATTTCAAACTCAGATGCGATACAGGCTTCCCTGAAGTCTTCCAAATGATAATTGGTTTCTGTCACCAATGCAAATGATCTAGATGAAATCAAGCCAAATAAATTAGGTGTGGAAACGATAACTGTGCTCGGAAAACTGTACTTGTTGAAATGTAAACAAAGCAAAATTCAGATTTTACACAGTACATGTATAGCAATTTCTCCTATTTTGAGAAATCCATTCGTCTATTGGGGCGTGTTGCTAAATTATCTTCCCCATAGGGGGCGCGCGTGCTCCGACGGTCCTACAGTCGGCACTTCCGGTTTATGGTCACTCAGCCGAGTCTGAAGGCGGTGACCCCATTGTTCCAATTAAACATACCTCAGTATTGTTGTGTACCTGGCTGCAATTCAAGAACTGGAGGACACATTTTCCCCCGAGACCCAGATGACAGGATGAAATGGAGGATCGCGATTAAACGCATCGACGAAGTGTCAAAGAAAGTGTGGGAGCCGGGAAAGTATGACATCGTTTGTCGGAAGCATTTTCGGACGGAGGACTATGTAGAGCACTCAACATTCTAACATGGTCCTGATAGCCTGGGAGGTTTCGATACTGCATCGGTCGTGGATCAGACATTGATGGCTTCTGCTTAGTTGGGAGATCTTCAGCTCTGATGGGAGATCCTAAACAATCAAGTGGAGTAAAGTGAAAATGATATCTGTTAAAATCATTGTTAAGGTCATATTGTGGTATACTGCAAATACTGTGAAGTATATAAAGAGTTTCTCTGCATATCTACACTATTTTATTAAAACAATACACTTACATCTAGTCTCTGAAATGAAAATAGTTTGCAGTGAAAAACAGTTGTTAATTCATAGTCATACAATATAAACCAAAAGGAGCCAAGAGACTCTTCATTTCAGATACTGTAATAACCTAGACTTCAGTCTCGCCAAGTATTATGGACTTGCATGGGCTGTATTGAAGAGATTTGTCTCATTGTTTTTGTGACAGACTAATTAAAACAGTCTTATTTTATAATATATGATTACCATCATGTGTACATCTAGGCTTGTGGAAGGTCTGTAAGTTTTCTGTGCAAGTTTTGTTGACTGTTGGTGCATCTGATTGTAGCATGAGCAGCACACAAGCTAGATGTTTGCAGGTTCCATGAGGCCCTTTCCCTGCAGGACATTCACAGTGTGAGTTGATCACTTCACCACTTCTTCTACTTATCCGAAGCCTGTAGGATGAAAACTTGTCATATAAAAAATATGCATTGATATATATCAAATCATACAATAGGATTATCACCCTCACTTTATGCACATTTCATAAATAGTGGTCACTAAACTTCACATGCATTTCCACATTAATTATGAAAGTGAAGCAAATATCTGCGCATTTTATGTTGTATTAATTGGGATGAAAGTCTGCAGTGATATGACTTTAAAAATATTGGATACATGGTTAAGTGGGAGACAAAAATTGTACTTGAGAAAACCAACCTTTTTCTTCATAGCTGCTTTGACAATGCCAGTGAAGTACAGATCATCCTGCGATATGTGAACGCTGCAGGCATCTATCCGCTTGGATTCAAACATCAACTTCCCTTTCTCCAATGCTTTTAGGTCTGACATGCACAGCTTGTCAACAGCTGCACGGTGGTTCAGATACACTTCTATTTGTCCTTCAGATAGCTTCAGAAGCAGATGTCTGTGTTCTGGTACCAACTGTCGAAAACCAGAACTTGGCCAATCTGGGATGATCTGCATGGGCATTGACACCAACTCTCCTCTTAAGTCGTCATTTCTGTCATATGCCTCTAGGCCTAATCTGAAACAATGACAAAAATCTTTTATTGATTATATCCCAAGTACAAATTGAAATATTCTATTGTTATTAGTAGTATTAATTAGTGTTTATTATTATTGAATTCCAGACAACATGCCTAACCTAATAGCAACAAAACAGGTCCCATTAACATGACTACTCATTACTCATCATGGATTGGAATAGATCGTTACAATGATGAAAAGATCACTTTATCGACTTACAGTATATGACTCGATGTTATCAAAGTATCGGTAAATCTCGTAATCCACACCCCATGTTGACTTTACTTATGCAAACCTAAGCACGATATGTCATCGTTTGATCGAATACAGGACTCGTTGCGGTTGGCCCTACACGTTAACTTTTAATGATTGTTTCTGGAATGTTTTTGATGTGGAATAACCCGTACCTCCATTCGAAATTGATCAGAAAAGAATCCATTTGTTTGAACGAAGTCCCTTGACCCACATTGGTCGAATGAATACTGATTTTGCGTAACCCAAAAGAGGAAGTGTCATAAAAGTTGAAAAAGAAACAATGACACATTTAGGGCCCAGTTAGGCCTATAGGTAAGTAAGCGCGCGCATTCACGATCCATTATAAATTAACTAGGCCTACCGCGATAGCATATCGTGCAATTTTCATTTAGATTGTAAAGTTTCTACAATTTTAGTTTAATAGCGGAGAATATTAGACGTTTAAAGTATGATTCATTTTCGATACAACTGATCAAAATGTGAATATTCACTGAAAAACTAGCCGATCGGACCATCAACAAAACAACATGATGAATGAACATGGGGATCGTTACTCACCTGTTTATCAAATCTTCTTTTCTACCCTTTGTATGTGCCCCTCTTCTATTTAGCTCTGTTTTTAACTTCTCTACTGTCCATTTGCCGTAACTAGACATGTTAGAGGCAAATAGCATCAAGGATGCCTCACAGGTTTATAAAATTGCAACGGTTTGACAGCTAGCAGACGACGCGCACTTGTTGAACTTAGCACGGCCGGAAGTAGGGAAGGACTGATAGAGCGGTCACGCCACCTGGCGACAAATCGGCCGACTCGCCCCAATATGCATACATTGGTTTGACAATATTCATGGGAAGAGTGTCGTAGCACGAATTATGGAATGAAAATATATAGATTATCTACATTACAATGATCAGGTTAATTGGACGGAAATTTTTACGGTAAACTTTTATTTCAATTACAACCGATAGGTGGCGCGAATTTTAATTTCCGACAAGTCAGGAGTGGCGTCATGTATTACGAGGATCGCATCAGTACGAGACAGCATCGAAAGACCGCATGCAGGTAGGAGCAGCAAAAGTGAACGGTGGAATTAGTTTCCCTGGGAAACCAACTGGCAGGCACACTGCCCCTGTCAGGACTTTCATCTGATAAGGTCTCTTACCATGTTAACTGTCCAACAAATGACCATGCTGATACTCTGATATGTACCAGATGTTCAACAGTCAAAACACAAATGTTCAGGATGTCTAATCAGGTCAACTAGGCAAAGTCTACACACAGGTTTATTTTGCTATTTTCTGCTGATACAATAATAATAATAATAATAATAATAATAATAATAATAATAATAATTCCAATAAATCCAATGAAATCATTTATATCATTGAATTTTCTGTCCTTTTGACACTAATGTGATTGACTTGGTTGATGCACGTCATCGATCTCAATTGCAAAGTGTAAATGTAACTGCAGCAGGTACGTATTTCTTGGGATGTGCAATAGGCCTAGTCAATATTGTAAGTTCATATTAGCAATGTCCATGAATAGCCGTTTTATTTTATAACTAAAACTGACTATATTACTTTCACAAAATGGATAATATTTTTTCGGTAAAATATATGCACACATTTCAGAAAGAATTGTCTTGGTCTTGGAATTGTTTTTTTTATTTCGTTTGATACACAGAACAGTGATATCTAACGATTCGCCAGGTGCGCGTGAGTCACAAATAATTCCTCTCGTTGCATTATATAATCAATGGGTTCATTCTTTTTTCAATATTGTGATCACAGGATATTAAACTGTTTACTTAATTTCTCCAGGAATTGTAAAATGTATAAAATCAAATCCATGCCAGGTACACGTTGGTTCAACCTCATACGATTATCCTGATAATTGTATACCAATAGAGCTTTCTTCGCATCTTTCATTGTGTAATTCTGAGACGAGATGAAGAGAAATAATAACATTATAATAAACAAATATATGTCCAATATTGAATATAATTTTGGCTGTTTTCAAATATTCTTTTGGGTTACGTAAATTGATGCCAAACAGGTGCGTGTCTTGTCCAATTAAGATACACGATAAACTATCTAATTGTTTACATTCAAGACATTAACTTGGTGAAAGCAGTAATTTTATGGTGTGTCGAAAAAGCGTCAAATTCCGTTTTACACATCGAGATTTTCCATACCATGAACGAAAATTAGGGGAGATATATATTAATCAAAATACCAGTGTCGTTTTTCTCCGACGTTATCAAAGACATAAGACCAGCCATGACGTCAAAAGGAATGGTGTTATTTTTGGGGTATTTCAATTTCATTTGATGATAAGGCTAGTGCTCCATTAACAGTGGTGCAACATTAGTCAAATTACACTTACACAATCAGGAGAATGTTGGAATCTAAGGACTAAGTTATAGGTTAGATCAGGCCATCCATTTCTCTATTACCTCTTTTTTTATGAAGTACGATTTCATCGTTTCTTATGGTTTTTTTTAAATAACTAAACGTATAAAGTTTCAATATGGATATTTGTGTTGGAATAGTTTGGTTCCTCGTAAACGAAACACCACAAAAATATATTGTCCTTACCCACAGCTAATTCTCACCAATTGACCTGAGTTACAACAAGTAGAGATTGCTGCAGAGCATCAATAGCTCCCCGCAATATAATGTTATGTGCAGAGGAAGGAAGTGTAAGCTATGGGAGGAGAGAATTTGTGTTAAGTACAAATTGGTTGTTATTAATGTACTTAATAAAAGTAGCACAATAAAAGAAACAGTGTCTTTAATTGGTCAGCACAAAGAGAACCCAGGCAAAACTTGATATATACCCACTATTAGTACCAATAAAAAAAATCCTATATAGATAACACAACAAATGTCATTCTAAAGCATGCTTTTGCAGCAAATATCAATATTTCTGGTCAAAATGTTTAAAATAGTAAACACAAAAAATGTAATGAATCCACTCTAAATATACTTCAGTTCAAATGTAAAAATTCACGCAATCATTAATGGATTCCCATTTATCTAGCAGCAAGTTAGGAACATACAGTTTGGTCACGTTATTTATAAATATTGAGAATTATCTTACATATTGTAAAAACAAAGGCCATAGGTCACTTTTTCTCAAAACTTCGTTTAAGTAATCACAAACTAAAAATTGAAACAATTGTAGATATACAAAAACACCAACCCCATTTGAACAACGTCTGTGAAACATGTGATGTCTCAGAAGATGAACAACATTACGCACTGTCTTACATAATACAACCAAGACAGAGAATCACAAATAATCCCCAATCATGATAAAGAATTTGGTACACTCTATTAAAAGGAGCAGATTCTTAATAAGTTTACCAACAGTTATCCAGAAACAACTTCCAAGATCTGTTAACATATCAACAATTACAAACAAATTCCTTGTACATGTATGTACAACATTACCGTAGTTTTGCTCAATTCTCATATTGTTTCCATATCATTATAATACACTTGTTTTTTTAAATAAAATTCTTATAATGTCCCTCCTTTGAATGTTAAAATGTTCCTGTGTTTTTTAATTGTCGTTTATTGTGCATGTATTTTGTAGTTTGTGATTGTGTAATATTGCCACTGTTTCTTCATGGAATGTTCCGCAATACATATCTCATCTAAAACATCTTTGTTGTATAATAGTTTCTTACAGTTGTTTACGGGGGCATGGTTGGCCCAGTCGCCGAAGGCGCTGCAATTCGCTATGCAGAGTTGTGTCCCTTTGGCACACCAGAAACCTATGACAGTGTGTTTGAATCTCGGTTCGCCCCGATTTTGTTGTCAGCAGAAAACCCTTGCTCGTTGGTTTCACCAAAGTGGTGAACGTCTAAGACCTGCATCACTTCAGACTTTCCTCCCACATCAAGCTGACACGGAATACTATTCAAGACGGCGTTAAACCCAACTACCTCACTCACTCTTGTGTATGGTTCCGTTTGGTTAACTGGGTTTGTGTTGTGATTGCTTCCGGCTTAGATTTGAAATTTGTTTAAAAGAATGTTACTATGTTCAACCCAAACATCGTGAAGATATCATGCAACCGTATTATCCTTTTGGAAAATAATTGCAAACTACAGACCAACCTGTTGATTTCCTATGTATCCAGAAGCAAAGAACATATATAGGTGTATGATCTCTGCTGGAAGTTGTTGTTTTTTGGTCAAAGCAATAAACCATGCAGAAACGTAAACCGCCGCATGAAACGGTATGTACCATACATTACATACAGTGAAGTATTTAAAACAATGCTGTGCTCAACTATGCACAGCAAGCGCCATACATGTGATTATGAAGACAACTAATAAAATATTTCTCATATCAAAGCCGTTATTTTACATGTGTTGTTTATTGAACAAAGTCATATTTTATAGAAGCCTGTTATTTAATCGTGTTGAACAATATGTTGCAATGGCAGTGTGAAAATCGAGTGCGCGTGACAGGCTTGGCCTAAATTCCTTCCTGGAACGTTTCTCGATGGCTGCCTGAATAAATTACGATTCATTGCAAAGGTAGTGCGCAATTGAGCTGTTCGGGTAAGGGAGATAATCACTCACTCTCAGTATTACAGCTTGAATAAGATACGATGTACAGCAATGCAAGGTCAGTGCGTGATTTATCACTTCTATACTATGCCTATAGCTAAAGGAGATAATCACCCAATGTGCAATAGTTTATTCTTACAAAATATAGACCGGTTAACTTTAGCGAAATGGGATCATTTTTAGATCTTTTAAAAACAAAATGAACAAATGTCATGGGTTATCAGCATTACGAAAAGTGACTAAGTCTCTGCATGAATAGCAAGACGATTTTGAAGTATCTCTTATTGCTGGAAAAGATAAACATCAACATTTCACGCACATTTCACATGATTTGTATATTTCGTTTCGGTAACTGTGTGGCTTGAAATTTATAAGAAACCAACATGTCGACTTACATGCTATAAATTTAACCTCTCTCGTATACTTCCCCGCCTTAAGGGCGGGGAAGAATAAACTAGTGCTAAGCATAGCGGAGTTATGCCCCCTTTTCTTTGTACGTGTGTAACCTCTCTGTCGCCTTTTGACGTCATAGAGAAAAATCAGTTTTCGTCATTTACGGCATCCTATTTTTGACATTGAATGTATGTCGTCATACATACGCATATAACTCCATTTGATATATAGTTATGTCGTTCAGATATTAGGCAGTATTTTGTTCGCTGACAGTTCCCGTAAAGCTTCGAAATAAAAAAAATCTTTGCACAGTACTTTTATCGATGTGCGATAAAAAGGGGAGAAATTTACTGTTTTTCAACGCAGAATATATTCTCGATCAAAACTTAGAAGTGTATTTTTTTTAAAAACGGTTTACTATTTGTAGTTTACTTTACACCATCAAATAGGGAATTTAATATTCTCCACCTCTGCGTAATTTTATAGCGAGAGGTATATCCGGTGGCGCGTGAGCGCGATTCTCGCACCACCTTCACTTTTCCGATCTTTGCAAAAGTGCGTCAGAAAAAAACCTTGGCATCCAGAGGGTTAAAGCGTTCGCTCGTCACGCCGAAGACCCGGGTTCATCCCGACGTGGGTACAATGTGTGAAGCCCATTTCTGGTGTCCCCCGCCCTGATATTGCTGGAATATTGCTAAAAGCGGCGTAAAACCATACTCACTCACTCATCTTCATCACAGTTTACAATATCGGCCCATGTACCACCGAGCATTGTGATAGTAGCTGACGCAGGGTTCTTATTTCTAATGTAAACTTGTTTTAACATTTCACAATTATTGGTGTTTGCAAGCGACCATTTAAGTTTAATTCCATTTATTTTACCAAAGTAAAAAAAAAAATAGGGTGCCGTTTTCGCCAGGCAATAGTAGCCGTTTTCGCTTGAGGCGAGGTGACGTTTTCGCCAGGTGACGTTTTGCTGAGGTGCCGTTTTAGCTATAACCCGGCCTAGAAGAACAAAAGGTTGAAGAAAGTACAAGGGAACAACTGGAGGACTAAACTAACAGATTTGTTCTTCTCAGAA